TTTTTTTTTTTTTTTTTTTTTTTTTTTTTGTAGATGTTATTATGTTTTGATCAATTTTTGTGTTTGTTTTTACAGTTGTTGGTGAGTATGAAGAGAAAAGTCCAGACCCAAAGCCAAGATGGAATCCAAAGCCTGAACAAATTAGGATTCTTGAAGCGATTTTCAATTCAGGGATGGTGAATCCTCCAAGAGATGAAATTAGAAAAATTCGAGGTCAGTTACAAGAATATGGCCAAGTGGGTGATGCCAATGTTTTTTATTGGTTTCAAAACAGAAAATCAAGAAGCAAAAACAAACTCCGCCATCTCCATAACTCCAAATCCAATCATAATTCCCCAACCACCACCACCACCGCCGCCGCCGCCGCCGCTCCTACAACAACAACAAAAACAACTACTCTTTCTCCCACCGCCGCCACCACTTGTTCTTCCTCTTCTTCCTCCGACAAATCCTCCCCCAAAATATCACCCATGAAAAGTTTTACCTCCAATTCGGTGTCTCAGAGCTACCTTCAACAACCCACGAACGAGCTCTTGCCTGAATCCTTCTTCTTCCCAATGCCACAAACCGGCGACGGCGGCGGTGTAATCTCTAATTTGGGTCAAGGGTTTTGCTTTTCTGAGCTTTGTAGTGTAGTGCAGCACGTTCCTGACCATGGGTTCGAATCTTGCACAAACCTGTTGCTGAGTGAGTCTGAGCCATTTAAGAAAGATTTGATGAAATCACAGCCACAGCCACAGTTCATGAATTATCATCCTTATTTGAATATCGCTACGGATCAAAGCCTTCCCCAAACAACAATTTCCACCGCAATTCCTCAAGGTAAAAAAAATATTCATTTATGTCATAAAAGGAAGGATTTTGTGAAATGGGTTTGAGAGTAAAGGAACAAAGGATGTTAAAAAGGTAAAAAAGTTGAAATTTTTGAGAGATATGTGTATGATTTAGGTTATTATTTGAAGAATGTAGCGTTAGATGGACGTATGCATGGGGGTTTGAGCAGGAATGATTGTGTGTTTGCAGGTGTAGGTGAAGTTTATGGAGTAGGAGGGAAATCAACGGTGTTCATCAATGGTGTAGCGTTCGAGGTTGGTTGTGGGCCGTTTAATGTTCGTGAGGCTTTTGGTGATGATGCCGTTCTGATTCACTCCACCGGTCAGCCTGTCCTGACCAATGACTGGGGCCTCACTCTCCACTCACTCCAACATGGCGCTTACTATTATCTGGTTGGCCCTTTGCTTCTATCATCTCCTCTTTACTTTTATTACTCATTTCTTTGGCTTATGATATTCTCTTTGCATTTGCAGATATAAGAAGAAGAAGAAGTACTGGGAATAATGTTAGCTGCTGCATGTGCTTCTTTGCTTAGTTAGGGTTTAAATTTTCCTGTTTGTGACCGACCTTTATTTATAAATCCATGATGCAACCTAGTTTGTATCGACCCGTTTATATCCAAGTTTTCTATGTGTGCCGAAACACCACCTCCCGTCTGACTTGCATGTGTTAAGCATGCCATCAATGTTCATCTTGAGCCCGGATGGCTCCCTGAGATTGAAAAGAAAATGAATTTGGGCTGGGATGCACAGCCAAATTAGATGATATCATTTGGTTCAAACGCTACCAGGTTTTTAGGGTTTTTTTTTTTTTTTTTTTTTTTGCTTGAAATGAAACCCTAATTTCAGTTCAAGTTGCCAAATTTGTTGAGTCAAAAAGGTACTGGCTTTGCACTTCAGTTACTTTTTTGGTTTGCACCCACTTTAAATTAAAACCACTACCTTGGGCTAGTTAAGGCAGTGCTTAATTATTATCCCTTTTTTAATCAAATTCACCAAGTTTTATTGCTTTGTAATCCCTGGTTTTAAATTGATTCAAATTTGGTTTTGGTTTTTCCTTATTGCAATGAAATTGATTGCTGATATCAATATAGACTTTAATCATTGTTTTAAGAGTGTAATCCTTTTGGGCTTTGTTTTTTGCATACTAATAGATCAGCTTCTTTCGTACTGAAAGAGTGATAAACAAACTCGACGCTTTGATTATACTTTTCGGAACAAAACCGTTTAGAACCAAGATCGAATATTATTCTAGTTTGTCTTCGAGCTAAAATTGGCTCAGCGGTCTGTCTATGGTAAAATACTTCCCCACATCTCTTGGTTTTTTTTGGATCTTTCTTATAGTATTTAATAGACTTTATAATCTCGAGAAATAGAATCTAACGGCTCTATCAACGAAGAGTATTAACTTTTTTGAGGTGGATAGATTGAGCCAATGGCGATTCAAATTTATATGCGAGAATTTTTCCTTTCCCTCGAATGTAAAGAATTTTCGGTAAGCAAAGCTGCTTCATGTCACGGTCATGCTTGTCCAATGCGTGTTGTTTGTGGTTGCTTGTCAAATTTTCCGATTGTACTTGTCTAAGGCGTCTTGTACATGGTTGTATGTTCATTCCAAACCCCATTTACTTGTTGTCATGTGTAGTTAGGTCTTTACTATTCATGTCATATCAATACAGGGGTGTGTGATAGCTCACTAAGATCATGTCTACATTTGTCATGACTAAAACGCTCGAAACTGTACTATAGGGGATATGCTATCAAAATTGTGGTGGTTGCTATATAACATTTATTTCTTTCAAGTTGTTTCCAAAGCATTTTCTCGCTCACATTTTCTAAAACCTTATGCCAAACATGACTTAAGGTTCAATATACGTTAAGATTGTCGGTAAAATTCGATTTTTCACACGACTAACTTGTTCGTTAGACTAGAACAAAATTCGAACCATCATTACCCAACCATACAAGATATTGAATTTTGTAGTGGTATGTGGTTTATACAAGATATTGAATTTAAATAAGTGGGACAACAAGTAATACTCCCCTGCCTTTCTTTCTTTTTTTAAGCCTTTTAGGAATATTGAATGAACAATCAGGTTTGATCTTCTTCTTCCTCATCATCATCAACGATGGATGCTTTGTTTAATTACAAAAAAAAAAAAAAAAAAAAAAAAAAAAAAAAAAAAAAAAAAAAAAAAAAAAAAAAAA